TTTTTCATTTCTTTTGTTTTTGTAGGTTTCGTTTTTACTGAGACTTTATGTTTTTCTTCTTTATTTTGATGAGTAGGTTTCTTAACTTTCTTTGTTGTTACCTTGAAATTTACTCTATCTTCCTAGGTTTGAACTAGTTATTATTACTTGGTATCACCTTGCCTTCTTCTCCGTTAGAAGGTTCTATACCTACACGGTTTATTCCCTTATCATTGTTCTGATGCTGTTGTCATTTACAGATTCACCTCTCTGGTTCCCTGTTGTAATTCTTTCAGTTTTGGATAGTCCTTAAGTGTTGATTTCCCAGGTTGGTATCTGGCTAGTACAATTATGTGTCCTGTATTCAGCCTGTGACCTGATCTTGTTTGTTCTCAGCTTGAAAGACTCCCTGTAATAAGTCTTGCAAGTCTGGTTTGGTTTTTACATAGTCTCTTAATTTCTGTTTATCTGAAAATGACCTAATTTCACCATCATAGTTGAGTGAGAATTTTGCGGGATGTATTATTCTTGGCTGGCAATTTTTTTCTTTCAACATTTTATGTATGTCATTCCATTGTCTTCTTGCCTTTGTGGTTTCTACAGAATAATCCGAGCTTAGTCTCATTGTGTCTCCTCTGTATGTGACTTTTTTTTTTTTAATCAAGCTGCTCTCACGATTCTTCGTCTGTCTTTGGTTTTAGTGAGTGTGGTTATGATATGCCTTGGTGATTTTCTTTTGGGGTCTATGCTATATGGAATTCGTGGAGCTTCTTGGATAGTCAGCTTTTCATCTTTTATGATATTGGAGAAGTTTTCTGTCGGCAATTCTTCTCTGATCTTCTGTGTGTTTTCTGTTTTCTCCCCCTGTTCTTGAACTCCGATTCCTCGAAGATTTTTGCTTTTGATTTTATCCCACATAATTCTCAGGGTCTCTTAATTTTTCTTCGTTCTTTTTTCTGATTTTTCATCAGAGTTGTAGCCAAGTGTTTGTCTTCAGTTTCGCTGATCCTGTCTTCTGTTGTATCAAACTGTTCCTTAGCCCTTCTGTGACACCGTCCATTTCTGAAATCTTGTTTATCTTTGGGATTTCTAATTGTTGTTTCGTATACTCTCTAGTTGTGACTTTATTTTGGCATTTTGTCCCTGCATTATTTTCCTGAATTCTTCCAATTTTTTGCCTGTATTTTCCATGAATTTATCTATTTTTTCTCATTTTTGTCTGCTTTTTGCTACAACTCTTGGAGAGTTCTGAGTATTAGAGATTTGAATTCCCTATCAGGTAATTCCAATGCCTTTTCTTTCACTGGAAAGTCATCTGATGTTTTATTTTGGATTCCTAATGGAAACATCCTGTCATGTTTTTGTATATTTTTTAATAGTGTTTACTGTCTTTGGGGCATTCAGTAGTTATTTTCCTCGTTTACTCTTTGTAGATTTGTTTTGTCCTGCTTTTTTGTTTTACTTGGTTATTTCTGAGCAGGTGGGCTGTGTGTTCTATGTTGTTTTTTTGTCTGTGGGCTCGATACTTTTCACCTCCCTGTCCAATGGCCAGTCACTCAGCTGTGGTACAGCAGGTCAGGTCCAGCTGAATGGGAGTTGCTGGGATAGGTTGTTTGTGGCACGTACTAGGGTCAGCAGAGTGAGCTGGGAATCAGTGCAGGGCAGTTTCTGGTAGGCTTTGCCTTTGCTGCTCGGGGGTGTGATATTCAGCACACGGTGCAGGTAGGCAGGAAGTAGGCGGGTGATTGTGATGTGTGGAGCTAAGATGGGCATGGGAAAGAGGAGAGAGAAACAGGAGTCAGAAATAAACAAACAAAAACAAAAATGAGTGCTAAGGGAACTTGCCATTTCAGTGGAGAGATGAGAGACCGAGACATGGAGAAAAAGAAAAGGAAAAAAAAAAAACACTAAATAAAAATTAGAAGGAAAAAAGAAAAGAAAAGCCTTAAGGGATTCCACCAGTGTGACTGCAAAGACTGGGGAAGTACAGATTGCCTAGAAGGGGTAGAGGTGTGACACAACTCCAGGTATTCAGGAGTCTGGAAGGGAAAGTAAGTATAGAGAGACAAGAAACTGAGAAATGAAGAAAGACCAAAAGGGAAAAAGAGAGAAAAGAAAACAAGGAAACAACAACAAAAAGAAAACACCCTAAAAACAAAAAACAAAATAAAAAATGAAAAAGAAATGCCCCCAGAGATCCCACTTCGCATCTGCACAGACTGAGGAAGTAGCTCTCAACCCGAGGAGTACTGTCCTGCTAGAAGGGGCTCCCAAGGTGAGAAAATAAATAGAAAACTAACAAAGAAACAAATCAAAACAGAACAAATGAAAACAAAGAAACTGAAATGCCCCGGGGATCCCACCAGCATGGCAGGGCAGGCCAGGAAACAGTTCCAAAGTGGAGGGCCATTTTACAGCCTTTCAGGAAGAAGCAAAGATGGCACATGAAGCCAGATATTTGAGAGAAAGAAGGGGGGAGGTGGTGAGAGGTATGGAAGAAACCATAAGAAGCAGAAAAAAGCAGCACCAGCAACAAATGGCACTCAAAGAGCTGGCCATTGTGGGCAGTGGAATCCAAGTGGCAAAGGGATGAAGCCTGTGCCTCACAGCGAGGAGTCTTTGCTCACAGGAAGCAGAGGGGGACGAGTGGGGGTGAAGAAGGGTAGGGGTTGGGAAAGTGTATATTGCTGGTTACCAGTTGTTCTGTCTCCTGCTAGGAAAGCTGCTTTCCCATACTCCCTGTTTTCCAGTCTCCAGCAGGAAACCAAGATGGTGAATCCATGCTGCGTTAGCTGATAGGGGACCTCTGCACGTATCTCTCCTCACTCTCTGTTCTCTGTCAGTTTCTTATTCCATTTGGTGCTTGACTGAGTTCTTTATCTCTTCATTTGATGCTTAGGGTTTCAGGACTGACTTTTTTTCTGTTTGACTTAGTTTTTCGGGTCTTTGCTGTGGAGGGATGGCGTGGTGCTTTTGTCTATAGTGCCATGTTGGCTAGAAGTCCCATGGATCCTACAATTAAATAACTCAATCAGTGAAGAGAGAAGAGCAGTGTTGATTGTTTACTGTGGTATCAAGAATGTTGCTAGAAAATAATTCAGTGAAAAGCAAAATATTTTTTCAAGGTCTTCTGTTAGAATGTTTATATCAGTACATTTTTTCTTCTGCAGTTTAAAGAGTTACAGGCTGCATTAGAAAATGGAGGAAGTATGAGAAATTCAAAGAATGTATCAATTATACGTTTGCTTTTTTCTGGGGGCAGGGAGCAGAAAATCTAACAATTGTGAGTGTGAAATGCCGAAGAGTACTCAGTTGAGTGTTTATGAAATTATAATTTGAATTAGTACATCCTTCACTATTATAAGCCATGGTCAGATGATCATTTAAGAGAATAACCATGACAAATCTTCATGAATTTCAGACTGGTCATCTTTTCTTTATGGATGTACATGCATTATCTTTTTCCAGGGACAATCTCTTATACAAAATTAAGTGCAGATGAGAATTGAGAATTACATGTAAAACAAATAGAAGAGCTTGAAATAAAAGACCACTTGTAACTAAAATAGGATAATTAAAATCCTTCAGTCATCTAGATAGCTTTTGAAAAAAATAGGTCTGATACACTGAACAGGAACCTAGATGGTGCAGCAGTTAAGTGCTTCACAGCTAACTGAAGGGTCCTTGGTTCAGACCTACCTAGTGACTTCACAGGAAAAAGACCTGTCAGTCTGCTCCTGTAAAGATTACAGCCTAGAAAACCCTATAGGACACTTCTCCTCTGTCACATGGGGTCAGTGTGAGTTGAAATTGACCCCACAGCACCTAACAACAACAAAAACAATGCATTGTCACTCTTTAGACTTAATTAAAATTTAAAAAGTATATTTCAGAAAAAAATGTTGACTGAAAAATCAGATTTCAAATCCAGATGGTTAAAACATTAGTGGCCTTGGAACTTATCAGGCCACACACACACACACACACACACACACACACACACACACACACACACACACAGTTACATGTTCAGATTGTTTCTGGGGTCTCTTAGGTATCTCACTTCATGTAAAGAGGTGTTTTAACTTCACTTGTTCAAGATCTTCGGATGATAAGTCTCATAGTTGCATTTATGCTGAAGTTTTTTGTTTTGTTTTGCTGTTGTATATATGTGTATTAATTTGTCTTCACCCGGGTGTTATTCTTTTAAAAAAATCCAACAGTCATCATATTTTTCTTTTTTTCCCCTAGATTTGTTGACCTACAGAATGCTACGATACCCATATTTCTGTAGACTCTATAAAGAATTTATCTCATGCTGTTTTGAACCTGGCATGCTAAATTTAGGTACCTGGCCAAAAAATATACATACTACAGCAGAAAGATATCATGAATGTGAAGCCAAGGAACAAACATGCAAAACTGGAGCTCAAGAGTTATGCCTAAGGCATGATGGAGATTCTGAAGCTGCAGCTAAATTACATAAGCCTGTAATGGTGGATGAAGTTGTTCAATGTTTGGCACCACAAAAAGGGCAGGTGAGTTGATTAGTTGTTGTTCTTTTTTTTTAAACTTTTTTTTTAAGTAAGCTATAACTCGCATACCATTATATTTACCATTTTAAAGTGTGTAATTAATTGGGTTTTTTTTTTTTAATTGTACTTCAGGTGAAGGTTTACAGAACAAATAGTTGCTCATGAAACAGTACTTACTACACATATTGTTTTATGACATTGGTTAACAACCCCATGACATGTAAAGCCTCTCTCTTCTCGACCTTTTTTTTTTGGTGAAAATCTACATAGCCAAAGATACAGCATTTCAAAAATTTCTACATGCACAGTTCAGTGACATTGACTACGCTCTTCCAATTGTGCTGCTATTCTTACTTTAGATGAAGCTTAACAGAACAAAATAGTTTCTCATTAAACAGTTAGTACACATGTTGCCCTATGACAATGGTTAACCACCTCACAACACAGCAACACTATCCTTACTCAACCTTGAGTTTCCTATCACCAGCTTTCATGTCCCCCACTGCCTTCTAGTCCTTCTCCCTGGACTGCTGTGCCCCATCAGTCCCATTTGGTTTTATGGGGCTGTCCACTCCCTGGGTTAACGGTGAAACTCAGAAGTGACTTTTCCACTGAGCTAAAAGGGTGTCTGGGGGCCATACTCTCGGGGTTTCTCCAGTCTCCTTTAGGC